CCTCAGCAAAAAAAAAAATAAATAAAAAGTTGTGAAAGGAAGTGGAGTAAGTTATGAGCGCACACAATGAGAGTACCTAAGCCTGAAAGTTTTCCCAAGGAAGTGCTAACTAAATGTACAGCCCAAAGAATGAGTAGGCGCTAGCTAAACTCATGAGAAAGTGACACCCATCTTCAGTGGAGGGAGAAGTCTTCAAGTTGAAGGGAACTTTATATTCAATTAGGCCCAAGAGAGAAGAGAATAAATAGCACCTGGAACTTGAGATGATTTGAGCACAAATTATAAAAGGAAAAATGTGATAAAGTAACTTCCCAACTGTTACTTGTGAAGCTTTGACCTCCTCAAAGGTCAAAGTATTGTTTTTAAAACATTTATCTTAGTACATTTGGGCTTGTATAACAAAATACCAATAATTGGCTTGGCACCTTAGTGATTAGGGCGCCAGCTACATACACCAAGGCTAGCAGGTTGGAACCTGGCTCAGGTCTGCCAAACAATAATGACAACTGCAACAATAAAATAATCGGGCCTTCTGGTGGGTGCCTATAGTCCCAGTTACTTGGGAGGCTGAGGCAAAAGAATCACTTAAGCCCAAGAGTTTGAGGTTGCTATTAGCTGTAACACCACGGCACTCTACTGAGGGCAACATAAGGAGGCTCTATCTCAAAAAAAAAGAGAGAGAAAAGAAAATGGGTAGCTAATAAGTAACAGAAATTTATACTATGCAGTTTAGGAAGCTGGAAAATTTTAGAGTACTGGCAAATTTAGGATCTGGTGAGGGCCACTTTCTGGTTCACAGATGGCACCTTCCAGTTATGTTTCCACACCGTAGACTTTATAATGGTACTAAGCCCGTTCATAATTCTTATGACCTAATTACCTCCCCAAACTCTCACCTCTTAATTCAATCACATTGGAGGTTAAGATTTAAATAAGTGGATTTAGGATGAGGTGACAAAAATATTCAGAACATAGCAGTACACTATTTTATGGAAAATTATTATTATTATATAAACTATTACAGCATGTTAGTTAAGCTCTCTCAGCCTTAACAACCTATATGGATAAAAGAGTGTCATAGCACCTTGACAGATTTTTTCTTTCTTTCTTTTTTTTTTTTTTTTACAAGAGTGAAATGAGGTTTATTGAGGGAGAGAAAAATGAATTTGCAGAGTAAGAGCAAGAAACAGGTTTACAGAACAATATACATTCACCATAGACAATGAAAGGGCCCCTTTATCCCTTGTCATGGCAAAAGGACCGATAGGTTTATTCTGCAAAATGAAATCTATCATTTAGGTAAAGGTGCCCAATAAACTTCACCTGCTAGTATAATTATTAATAAGTTATTAGTAATTCATACATACTTAAGGAGATATTATAAACTTTGACATGTAAAATCTTCCTTGTGAAGCTTTTATCTGGAGAATACCTACAAATAATGCCAGACTCAAATAATATCATTTCTCTCAAGTGTAGAACTCTGGCCAGAGACAGAGTTTGGGTTTAAATCTTTTGAATATGGATGGATGTTTCTTTAAGAAGAGGGAAAATGGTCTGCTTCATCCTAGTGCATCATGAAGAGTTTGAGAGAAATGGAGAAAGCCCATTAGTTTACTAATCTAAACATCCAGCTGTCTGCCAATATTTTAATTACCTTAGAATAGAATAAAACTTAATATAATGTAGAATGATTTCTTTATTATTCTTTTCCAAGATTGTTATAGCAGTTCTAGTTCCTATCCCTTTCCGCATAAACTTTGGAATAAGCTGATCTATGTCTCAAAAGAATCTTGCTGGGATTTCCATGATAATGACATTAAAACTATAGATCACTTGGAGAAAAACTGGGAATTTTATTATAGTGAACATTTTAATTGATGAACAAAATGTGTACCACCAGGTTTTTTAACCAGCATTTTAAATTCCAGCATTTATGTCCTATTTTAATCTTATATATACAGATATATATATATTTTTTACTTTGTTTGAAATGATTACAAATGCTATTATGTTCGTCTTTTGTTTCCACATGTTGTTAGTATAGAAATATGATTAATTTTTGTGTGTTGAACTTGTGTCCTGTAACCTTGCTAAACTCACATGTTAGTGCTAGGATGTTGTTTGTTTTTTATAATTCTGGGGTTTTCTACATAGACAGCCTTATGATATACAAATGGGACACTTCCTTTCTTTTCAATCTGCTATGCCTTTATTTATTTTTCTTATCTTATTGTATTGCCTATACAGTAATGTTCCAATATGACATTGCATACTGGTGGTAAAAAAGAACATAGTTACTTTGTTTCTGATATTGGGGAGAAAAATTAGTATTTCACCATTTAATATGAGGTTAACTGTATGTTTCTTATAGATGCTTTTTATTGAATTGTGATACTTCCTTCCAAATTCTAATGTTATTATTATTTTTTTAACCAAGTTGTTTCCCTGGTTCAGGGCATGATGGGTGATTTTCTATTATATCCTAGACACTTTGGCTATTGAGTTTGAAGATTCTAGATCCTGTTTGCTTTTAATTTTAGCAGCTTGTCATATTATTTTAGGTTTAACATGTATGTTCTAACCTACTTTTGTGGGCTGTGGTTCTAGTGACACAAAGCCTTTACAATGTTACTTTAGTCCTCTCAGTTCATGAGTGACATATACTTTGGTCCCTGCTGGTGCTGCTTGAGAGGAAAGGAGAAGCTTCCTCAAGCTGTTCTACATGGTGCATTTAGGAGGACAAAGGGAGTCCCCATCCCATAGAAATAAAGGAAGGTACGCAGACAGTGTGCTTGTTATGGGGGGCATGCCTTTGCTGGCCACCCTGGCCATGTGTTGTTATGTCTAGGTGGGAGACAGGAGCCTCTGGCCTGGCAGGGAAAGGGCTTCTCCCAACTACTTGTTACCAGGGGAGGCTCCCAATAGAGGCTGGTGCTGCTGAGCTTGCCATGTTATCAGCAGGTATCAATTGGGGTATGGAAAGGGTGAACCTTCTATTGTTAGACTAGGGGGGTATGAAGTTCTTAGTCATACGGGCCTTCTTCCATTGGGCAGTGGAGAGAAGGCACAAGATGCCCTGTGACTGTGCTTGGTGTTCAGTCCCAAGGTCCCAGACAGGTTTGCTTTTCCGGTACTAAATTTAAAAATTCTCCAATGGTTGTTTTTTGTGTAATTTTCAGGAGAGAGCTGGAAAAAGATGAGTCTGCACGGTTGTCTCAATTAGTAGTTTTGATCCCACCCATATTTTCCACCTGAATTTGTGTTGCAATAATGGTATAATCACTTTTTGTTCCTGGCTTCCTTTCTTCTTCATTTTATTACTTTGTGTCTTTCTGTTTCTTGCTCTGCATTATTCTTTGGTCATCTCTGCTCCTGAGGTGTCTGTTCTCTGCTCTCTCTTGTGATTACCTTATATTCTGAGAGATGCAAGAAGTCCAGTTCTAGTTCTGACCAGAGTATGAAGACATCCCATTTACAAAATGAAACATTTCACATGGGATTCTCACTGCAAAGATTTCAATACTAGTACTATATTTATTTCACTCATTGAAAACAACCACTATATACACGTTGTACATTCACTCACACTGAACAAACATCAAAATCAATTTCTAGATTCTTTATTTTATAATACAAATCAAGGATGGGGAAATATAAATAAATAATATACATACAAATATATAATACATCTACAAATAATATTTACAAAATACATAATACATACATTAATATGTGTTAAATTGCACACAAACTTTATGGCTGTCCTGTATATACAAGCACATACGGCCCTGGAATATAAATCCAGAAAAAGTGATGATTAATCAAAGATCAAGGATGAGCAAACCAAACTGTCTCTCTGTACTTGGAGCTCCCTACTCATTTGCCACCCCCGAAGTTGATGTTCTCCATCTGTTTGCCTCCTCTACATTGGCATTTAGGTCTTTGGAACACCAGCTTCTGATATGACTTACGTCTCAATGAGTTATTATGCCCTAATTGTTTCTAAAATTGTTAAAACAGCAATATTATTGTCACAAACATGAGCACCACAGAGTCTCTAAATAAACTCTGCCTTGAGAAATTGCATTTTCTAGTGTACAGGTGGGGTGCTGTCCACTAGAAGAAAATTTACGTAGCACATAATTTCTTTTGTTCTTTTTTTGCATGTCAAATTCGGAGGGATGTTATATGCAAATTCTATGCCATTTTGCATTAGGGACTTTGATATCCACAAACTTAGCTATCTGCAGGGATCCTGGAATCAATCCTCCAAGGATGCTGAGGGATACTGTACTTTATCAAGGTCACAGCTGGTAAGAAATAGAATACAAGCTTTAGGTATACGGTTTTGAAACCGGTTTGTAAAAGAATACTAGGCCACTTAGAGTCACAATTTGGCTCTTCATTTTGAGTTTATCAGACACAGTTTATCAATATAAAATCTTGCTTTTCATTGCATATATATTTGTGTGTCAATTTGCCTATCTTATGAGAAAATTAGCTGAAACTAAGCAAATAGGCTTATTATCATGAATAAGCACATATGTTTTGAATACATCCTATATTTGACATTATGCTGGCCTCTAAGGATACAGAAGTGAACTAGACATAGTTCCTGCCTATTAGGAAATGTGAAATAAAATGATTCAGGGCAGAAAGCATGATTAAGGCTAAATAAAACGATTATTCATTAAAAAATAGATATGCTTCCTAAATGAAATATACTTGCATGCATCTGATGACACAGCTTTAAAATATATAAAGTAAAATTGTATACAATTATAAGAACAAATTGATGAAGACATAAGGGAAAAGATGCATTGTAAATTGTTATTTCATCTTCTTTGAGACTCATCAGTATAGCGTAGCTGCTTCTATAAACATTTTAATTATTATTTTTAAAAAACTAAATAATTTATTTAGTAATTTACAGGTAGTTATAAAATTGGCTATTGAATACTTAAAGAGTTCAAGTAAATATCTGTGATTTTATCTGAGATAAAAGCAATATTTGAGTCCAATAAAAGGTAAAATGAAGAATGGTATTTCATATAGATGCATTTATTTAGTACACTAATTTTAAAACATAAACATTGAGAAATTGTAAAAAGTACTTTGTTGATTTCCCAATGTTTTAAATTGCAGAGTAAAAAATAAATATTAGTCTTCGGACTTTATAAATGTCTCTTTATATTTTTAACTAAATTCTGTAGGAGAATTTTCAATGTGTTAACAAATTTTTAAAGTCGCAGACCAATTATAATTTTTCTCATTGATTATTAAGTCACTTTGCATGGTTTTAGTTAGCATATTCACTTCTCTGGTCCATGCATGCAAAGCAAACACTGTCTATATAAAAATTTTATACCTGGTCATAGGAGAGGAGTTCACTGATATTTACTGTACTCTACATTCCAAATGTAAGCATCAGCTCATACCCAAACATTTAATTTAGAAACATAGTCTTCCAAATACTTGTATCATACTACTATGTATTATTTCAATCTTTAATTGTTTGTATCTTTCCAATTCAGATAAATTATGAATGCATATTGATAATATTTTTGGTAGACAAAAAAATAGAAGCAGCAGCTATATATAACAATTTATAATGCATCCCCCTTAAGCATCTGTAATTTGGCAGCTGCTGACATAACTGTTTGGTTTGCTACAAATCCATTTCCTGTCTGTGTAGGTCCTGGCACTACTGATTCCATTGTCATTTAGATAGGCACATTCTCCAACTCCTCTGATGCCAAACCTAAAACCAAATGAAAACATATTAAATATTACAAAGTTTGACATTTATATTTGTTCCTCTCCTATATTCTCTACCACCCCCATTCCATATTTTTTTTCTAGGAAGAGAAGAGCAAAAGCTTGTCATTAATATTGCTTCTTAGTAAGATGCACCATTTCTGTAGTTCATTTCCTTTATGTTTTCAGGGTCCTTGCTTGAAAATCGTAAGTTCATTATTCATTCATACCAAACCCAGTTATGTTGTTGATTAGGTACTTAGCTGGTGGTTGCTACTGTACCCAAATGAAATGTTGCCATCAGTGGCCTTCAGTTTCAGCCTTCTCCCGAACTAGTTCATAAATATGTGAAAATAAAAAAATATTTTCTTATTTAGTAAGTTCCTAAAAGGGCTTATTATCTTTGATTAAGGAAAATGATTGAGTTCCTACTTTCTATCTCCTCCAATGTAACAGTTACATTCAAAATACCCCATTAAAATGTTCACAATCCAAGGAACTGTTACCAGGGTCCTTCTGGCAAATAGAACTTTGGGAGCGATTCCTTTAGGTTCCCTGGGTACTTTCCTTTTGTGAGTGGATGCAGCTGCTGTAAGAGTGAACTTAAGACCCTTGTGGACACCACTTCTTCAGTGGCTTCCTAGGATTGTAGCACCTTTGGGGTGGCCCAGCAGTCATGTCTACGTTCTAAACAGGCATTTCAGCAAAAAAAAAGCTTGAAATCGGTGGATATAAATGCAAATGTCCCAAATGTCACCATCATGTTGGAGATTTCAACTGAAATCACAGTAAGTTTTCCCAAAGGCACAGCTACTAAATGACATCACAAAGAGGATTTACTTTTCTTACCCCATAGTGTAGGGAGCTGTGCATGGTATTACATTTCTCATCTCATGAACACAACTCACCCACACAACAGCACACAAACACGGTAGAAGGAAAAGAAGTTTCAAACGTACAAGAGGGTGTATTCAGTGTTGTCTGTCCACTTCCAAATGTCCTGTGCTGATTCTCGGCTCAGGCCAATCCAATGGTCAGAGGGGCCTTTGTATCTTTTCAGGAAATTCTATTATAAAACACAGAAAATGACAACATGTGTCTCTCTCTTTCTTATTACTCTTTAGTCTCTTGGAAGACAAGAGTCTCTTGGAGTCTCATGGTATAACTGGGAGGCATAGACTTTGGAGTTAGACTCATTCTCAATTCTTAGTATATGACAAATGTCTCTGACCCTAAATTACATTCAGAGGACAATATATCCCAGTGTGACAAGGGAAAGTTTCAGTTTATATCTGTTATTCCACTATAATTAATGCCTACTTTCAATGTTCCAAATGTCCCAATTTGAATGACCAATTATATGATTAGCATATTTCTTAGCAGAATGAGAATAATAATTTTGAGGTCTATGTAAGAAGATTTACCTAAAAAGTCTCACAAGGAGATTATACTATAGTTGAGAGACTATACTCTCAACAAATGTTAGACAATCTCATGCCTCAAATTTTCTCTAAAATCAGATCCTTCCTCATATTTCAGCTTTAGTCCTATGCAGCTTACCTATCTCAGAGGTCAAGTAAGTAACAGAAAATAGGACCCCAAAATATTTCTTACCAATTCCTCCAGAGTTTCAAATCGAGCAAGGTTGCCTTCTAAGGAAGCACAGAAGGTTTGACTGAACGTCCAATTCCTTGTGTCTTCAGAAAAATAAAAACATTTACTTTCAAATCCAATCCAGTTTTTTGGGCAGACAGCATACAGAGTGGGCTCTGAGACCACCTTTTCCCGTCTCACTAAAAGACAATCACAACGAATTACAATAAATACATTTTCTTATCTCTTTTATCTCTCTCCTTTTTAAATTTTTGTTTACTATCCTGAGGACAATTTTGAAGTAGTTATGCTGGATTATTGCTTTCCTCACTGATCACTCAAGAGTCTTAGTCTAAGCACAATGGTCATCAGTCCAGTGGTCTTCCAGCAGGGTACATGGATCCTTGACTTTTTAAGGTGTACATGGACACTAACAGTTTCAAGGAAATTGATTTTTATAGCAACAACTATACTCTCTTTTTTTCCACATCTTCTTTCATAGCAGCCTTTCCTCCTCTTGGTGAAAGAAAGGCAAACTCATTGTCTGTCTTGGATTTTACTATGCTGTATTTCTTACGGGGTACAAAGCATATCAGCGAACAGAACAGAATTCAAAATATGATTTTTTTGGTACCAAAGTATAATCTAGAGCTTCTTATAGGCTTTGTGTGTGTGTGTCACATACACTACAATGTACATGTATACAAATACATATATAATTTTGTTATAAATACATTTTTAATGTATTTTGTCCAGTGATATACCTCAAGCATTTTACATAGTGCCTAGCATATAATGGAGTTCCACAAATACTGACCATATACATGTGTTGAGAATATCATACAAGTTGAAGGAAAAGTAACTTACCTGATGAAACAATAGAAAGTGCAACCACACCTGCAGTTAGGACTGCAATGATGAAAAGGTAACAAAAATCCCTGGGAAATGTTGAAGGAGATAGAACTGTCAGACATTTTCTCTGGAGATATTTACCTATAAAATACAAATATCAGAATCTCAATCTCATGAAGATCTTAGGGACAAAAAGTTAAATTGATCATGGAATCAACTCTAAACTCAGCTATTCTTTAACTCTCCTATTGCCAACCTAAATCATAAAAGGTCCTGGTCCACAAATGATAGCCATGACCCAAACAAACTAACCATAATAAAAACTGAATTTCTGCCAGGGAATCTTCTAGTTAGAATAGGAAAAAAATTTAAAAATGTAGAAATTAGGATGAAAAGAAACATAAATAATTCAGAGTTACCTCCATAATACATAACCACAAACCTGGTTGAAAGTACTGAGGGAAACATTAGAAAATAAATCAATGTTATACACCATGTTAACAGAATAGATTAAGAGAAGAAAAAACTATGAACATCTCAACAAATGCAGCAAAAGAATGTGAAAATTTATTATTTACTCATCCATAGTAACAACTCTGGACAAATTAGAAGGACCTTCCTGAACCTGAATGGGCATTTATAGAGAAACAGCTACCATCATACTTAATGGTGAAAGAACGAACATGTTCCCCCAGTGACCAGGAAAAAGGCAAGGATGTCTGTTCTCACCCATCCAATTTAACATTTTATTGGAGGTACTAACAGGGGCAAGAAGGCAAGGAAAAAAAATAAATGCCATACAGACTGAAAGAAATAAAAGTGTTTCTATTCATAGACAATATGGTTGTCTGCATATAAAATGCTAAAGAATCTACCAAGAGGCTACTAGAATAAAGGAGGTTATTAGCAAAACTGTACAATACAATGTTAATATATAAAAATTGATTGTATTTCCACGAACTAGCAAATATCAAATGGTAATTAAAATATAAAAATAATACCAATTATAGTAACATCAAAAAATATAACATAGGAGGTGCAAGGACCAGAGTCCCCACAAATATGGAAGTTATGGGTGGGTAGTAAGACCTCAGCTGGGAATGACTGTGCACATGCCTTGGGGACCTCAGCATTCGTCCACATGGCCAATCTTGTCATGAGAAAAATGTGGTGCCAGTTTTCAAATGGAGCAATGGCAAGGCTAGCCCCCATGGATGGACCAGGGAACATCCACATGTTCCCAGATTGTTGATATTTTTTCTCTCTTTTTAAAAAAATTTCAGATTAATTTAAGGATCCATACGGTTAGGTTACATAGTTTGTGTTTGTTAGGTAACATCCATAGCATTGAGAACCCACAATTTCAAAGTGATTCTGGGATATATTGTTAAGTGAAAAAAACAAAAATAGGGAAAGTGCAGAACAGAGAGTATAATATGGCATATTTTGTAAAATAAAGGAGTTGACAATAAGAATATAAGTTTGCATTTGTATACTGAACTACTGGAAGGATATACCCATCACTTATAATTTCAAGAAGTGCTAAACGACTAATGTGAAAAACAGCTCACATTTGCAGTTTATTTGCAGAATCTGACTATAAAAAGCAAAGGGCTTGGTTGAAATGCCATAGATGTTACCACCATCTTTTTCGCACCATCCTCTCTTACCCAGAAGTTATTTCCTAACCCTTCTTAATTTCTTCTTTTTTTTTTTTTGCAGTTTTTGGCCAGGGTCAGAGCTATTCCTTGAGCCACAGGCGCCGCCCACCCTTCGTAACTTCTTGCTAAAACAAAAACCAATTTCTGTTTAATTTTGAGATGAGATGTCTGATTATTTTTGAAGTCAGAGTGTTATTCTTATTGCAGCAGGCCTGAAGAAAATCTTCACTTATCCAACGCTGGACTTCGATAAACTACTGGTACCTACTAGACTGCACATGATTCTCATGCATGATTACTAAGTGAATGAAGTCAGACTCTACACTTTACTGCAGGAGTCCAGTTGGGTAGCATTCTGGAAAAGCAAGTGTTAAGAACAGAAAACAGATCACTGGTTGCCAAGCACAGAATAGGGGTATGCAGGAAGTTTTTTGGGAGGGAGAATATGGTTCTATATCTTGATTTTGATGGTGGTCACATAATTCTATGTGTTCGTTAATACCTATAGAAATGTACACAAAAAAGAATTTACTGAATGTAACTTATACTTTTAAAAATGTTCCTGATGATTTTCTTTCAACCACCACATTTCACTCACTAAACATAGATCTCTAAGAACAAGAGGCTGCTTCACCTTACATTCAGGCAAAGGAAATTCTAAATAGTATTGCATTGTTTTAAGCAGTATACGTCATTAGGGTTTTGACTCCTTATAAAAATTTCAACCTTCACAATCATCCACACTTCCATAGGAAAGATATAACATAATTATAGCCCAGAAAAAAGGAGAGAAGAGGAGAGTGAGGGCAGGGGAGGAGGATGGATGGGTGGAGGGAGAGTAATCAGCAGGACCTCATCTATTGTGCATATTGCACGGGTACATGTCAAATATATTAATAGTAGAGTATAAATGCCTAAACACAACAAGAGAGGTGAACACGATGTTAACCAGTTTGATGTAAACATTCCAAATGGTATATAAAATCAGCACATTGTACCCCCCAAATGCAGTAATGTACACAGTTATGAGCTAATAAAAAAAATTCAACCTTCATTCTTTCTGGCTCAACCTTAAAGCAAAAGAGTCTTTGAGGTACATTATGATTTCTACAATTATTCCATTGTTACTAGAGTAATATGTAAATCGCCACTTGAATTTTCCCCCAAATCTCTCATTGGCCTCTCTTACTAATCTTCTAAAGTCCCTGCTTTCTCCTGGTTTTTCCCTGTCTCCAATTCCCCCTACTGATGTCCTGGCTCCATTTCTCTCTCTTGCTTACTTCTCTTCCACTTTTCTTTTATTTATTTATTTATTTATTTATTGGTTTGTTTTTGTTTTTGTTTTTTGGCTGGGAGCTGGGTTTGAACCTGCTACCTCCAGCATATGGGGCCCACACCCTACACTTTTGAGCCACAGGCACCGCCCCCATCTTCTACTTTTACCTTCTCAGCCTTTTGGCTAAGATCGAGTATAGTACCTATTCCGGTTTCCTTCCCAATTCATATGCCACTTAAGAGTACACATTGTCTGGCTGGCGTGGTGGCTCATGCCTGTAATCCCACACTTCAGGAGGCTGAAGCAGGTGGACTGCCTGAGCTCAGGAATTCAAGACCAGACTGAGTCAGACTGAGACCTTGTCACTTAAAAAAAAAAAGACAGGCATTGTGGCGGGCACCTGTAGTCCCAGTAACTTGGAAAGCTGAGGCAAGAGACTCACTTAAACCCAAGAGTTTGAGGTTGCTGTGAGCTCTGATGCCATAGCACTCTACTGAGGGCGACATAGTCAGACTCTGTCTCAAAAAAAAAAAAAAAAAAAGAGTACACACTAAACACATGTCCTTCAAATTTCTAGTTGGAAAAAAAGTTAGGAATTATCTGTCAGAAGACAAAGAAATAAACTATATTTCTGGTAAAGTTTTAACTCAGTTTTAGGATCCAAAAAATTTACAAAAACAGGATGCATTTAAAAAAAAGTTTCATAACTGCATTGTATAACATTCTTACTGTCAAACATTTAGTTTTGTAACCACCAAGATTAGCTAAAAAACATTAACATTCTTTACAAACTTTCTTTTTGTGTTAAATATGAACTCTGTTTTCCTGGAAATCCAATGTTCTTCATTGACAAACAAAAATAAATAAAATTTAGGAGGAAGGGGCAAAGGAAAGGAAAGAAAAGAATGAAATAAAAGTTTTTCAAAAGTCATAAGAAGTTCAGTAAAAGGGATCTTATCTACTGGACTGAATTATAAACACACACCCTTTATTTTGCTTCTTTCTTACAAAATCTGTCATAAACTGAAGTGCTACAGGACTTGCTGGTGATTAGTTTCAGCTTCTCACCCTCACCCTAAATCTCCATGTCTTTTTAAAAATTACAAATGATCTGTAAAATCAACTCCAATGGGTTGCTAGATTTGTGTTCCTCACCACTCTTATATATTCAACATCCTACTGTGACTTGCCAGAGTGCAAGTTGCCAGAGACCTGGGAAAATACAGGATAAAATAGAAACACAAAGAAAATTTTCTTTCTTCACCCTCTGTACTCTAATTCACTGTTCATCTCTCCTGTCCCAAAAATATTTAAGTAACATACATAGTAATACAAGAACTGATGAAAAATTGCACAATTCTCTCACCCATACACATTTTCTATAGAGACTATGAGATGCTAAGGTACTTTTTCAAATTTTATCAACTGCATTACCAGACTCTCCTTCCTCCATGCAATCTCTGAATGTAGGGTCTGTCTGAAGCATTTTCACGGAAGTCTCTGAAGCCATGATCTTCTCACTTAGAGGAACAATCTGAAGTAGATCAGGAAGGAAATTGAGAGCATTAACACTGTGAGATGACATGTGTATCAGTGAACTTTGAGTAATTAGCTTGTCTGGCTTGCAGCCTACAGATTCACCAAATATCCCCTACAATGGTTAAAATGAAAAACACACGTATGCATTTTTCTAGGGGTATAGGGTACCACTGAAACTCTTACCCACTGCTGGTAGGAGAATATTTATATCAACTTTATAACCCTCTAGGACAGGCATCCTCAAACTACGGCCCGCAGGCCACATGCAGCCTGTCTAGGACATTTATCTGGCCTGCCAGGTGTTTTTGCTGCAGCTGCCTGTCCTGCTTAGCAGCCAACTCATTCCTGGGCCTGCAGTCTGGCCCTCCAACAGTCTGAGGGACAGTGAACTGGTTCCCTGTTTAAAAAGTTTGAGGACTCCTGCCTAGGACATTACTATTAAAGTTGAACATAACTAAATTATAATCTAGTAATTCTACTCAAAATATATTTTCACCCCCACAAAAAATATATGCATACTAAAGGACATGTGCAAGATTATCGTAACAGCATTATTTGTATTATCCAACATGGAAACTCAAATGCCCATTGATAGTAGAATGGAAACATATTGTGGTGTACTGATATGGTGGAGGATATTATACAGCAATGAGCACAGATAAATTCCTGCCACAGGCAACAACATCTCAAAACATAATTTTCAGTATAAGAAGTCAAACACTATAAAATACATCTTGAACTGTTTCTTTTATATAAAGTTCAAAAACAGACAAAGTAGTCTATGAAGTCAAGAAGTAGCATTCTTTTGTAAAGCAAAAGGGGAAAAGTGATTACCAGGGGCCCAAGAAGGTTTGAACACTGCTGGCAATATTTTATTTCATGATTATGGTGGTTATGGAAGGATGGTGCTAACTCCATGATAATCCAGTATAAATTTGTCAGACATTTTAGTAATTGTTCACTTTGCTAAAGAAAAATATTTACTAAGTAATTATATTTGAACAAAAAACAAACCTTGTTTCAAAAATATAATAGTACACAATAAATGCTTTAGAATGGGTACCTATGGGGGATATGAAAATGGACTTTTAAAGAGAATAAATAAAACAGGGGAGGCTTTAGAAGGGTCAATGAAGATAGTATGAGGCCAACTTGACCTGCAAGGAACTTACAATTGCACTACCTGTGGCCCAAGTGGGGTGGGGGGCAGGTGTTGTGATCCCAGGCAACAGAGAGAAATTTGTACCTCACTTCTGATGTAATTAATCAATAAGAATTTATTAGAAATTTAATAAACCTGCAGGTGCACCTACAGAGGGTTGTTGTGGTAGGCCAACAAGCAGCCACGAATGGCATATTCAAAGGGTTTATATACTGCAATGAAGCAAGCATAGTTTCAGCACAGCTCAGGGGTCACAAGGTAAAGGTACAAATAACAACTCAGCATAATTCAAGGGTCACATACATTGGCAGGGGTACATACATTGGCTCATAGAGGGTTACACAACTCAGGGTGAGAGTACATGCTGATTTAGCTCATATAAGCAAATCACATTAAAGGTTACAAAATTCAAAACAGGGGTACATATTACCTTATAGTCATATGTTTGGGGTCACATAAGGGATACATAGTTCAGCACAAGTTGAGAAAGTTTCCAAAGAACATGGGACTTTCCATCAAGGGCTCAACCCCTCCCTGCATACTTCCTTAATTTCAGACTGCTTCTCCACCCTTAAGGGAGCTGGGACTAAAAGGCTTAGGAGAGGTTTCCTTTTCAAGGGTAGGGGGATTATTCCCCACTGGTCTTAGCAGGGAATCAAGGGGTCTAGGTCATCACACAGGGAGTCTTTTTCTTTGGAAAAAAACTTTACAAGAGTGATGACACTTTTACTGACCTTTAAACAAATGGCAGGATTTCAACAGATGAAGGTGAAATTAAGTCATTTCAGCTACATAGAATGAGGCAGAACAATGATTGTCTACCTGGCCCACATATGTGAGTTACTAGGAGACTTCTATAAAACAAGTCTACTGTACAACAGACTGATTAAATCAGGATCTCCAGGGGTGGAATTTGAGCTTCTACATTTTTGAAGAAGTCCTTCCCCCATGATACTTAATGGAAGTCTGAGAATCACTGGTGTAGAGTGCCTCAAGAAGGAAAGTTTAAAAATCAGTAGCAGTGGCTTGGCGCCTGTGGCTCAAGTGGCTAAGGCGCCAGCCACATACACCTAAGGTGGCGGGTTCGAATCCCCAGCCCGGGCCGCCAAACAACAATGATGGCTGCAACCAAAAAATGGCTGGGCGTTGTGGCGGGCACCTGTAGTCCCAGCTACTTGGGAGGCTGAGGCAGGAGACTCGCTTGAGCCCAGGAGTTGGAGGTTGCTGTGAGCTGTGATGCCATGGCACTCTTACCCAGGGGGATAGCTTGAGGCTCCGTCTAAAAAAAAAAAAAATCGGTCGCAGTGATGTTATAAAGACAGTGATTGGCCATGATATAGCCACTGAGGACCCATGAAAGATAGTTGCCTAGTAGGGATATCAATAATCAGAACTATACTTTCAGACTTAGTGTGGTCATGCTTGTAGGATGGAATAGAGGTGGAAGAAGCTAGATATAAACCATAAGAGCATACTTCCCTGTAAACATTTCTCTCATGATCTTCCCTTTTTCTGTATTGTAAGTCTGAAGCTTCTCAAGTCCATTCTTGGAGCTTATGCTTCAAATGCTGGTCCTTCTATCACTAACTGCTAACAATTTCTCTTCCTCAAGAGATGGAAAAATTTCACTATTTTGAATCCTAAAATCTAGTTCTAATAAAATAGTAAATTGGTAACATTCACAAAAGTATCAGTATTACTTTCCTGATTAAGTACAGATACTTTTATAAAAATGTAATGCACTGTTTTTTTCTGTTATATAATATCATAGTAACATTCTTTACAGTAAAGGGTCTTCTAAGACACCTAGACTTATGAAAATGTAGCTCTGTCCTGTAAAAGACTGCAATGTAATCATTTGCTTTAACTTGGTACCTGTCACATTTGTAATTTGATACATTTATCTTCTGACCTACAATATTTTTCCCTATAAGCCAGACAAGACCTTTAGAATTTCTTTTCTTTATACGTATAGTTCGTTAAAGTAAATTAAAATGGAAATCAAGCCTGAAGAATGCCTAAGCAGACAAAATCAATTTCATTTCAGAAGTGACCTAAACCGTGCTTGATTTGAAAACATAACTGAAACTGAACTCTGAGCTGTTTCTTGTAAATTGCAATTAAAAGAAAACAGAACTTAAGCTCAACCAACCAGAGAGCAGCCAAGAAATAGGGACTTTCAACAGAAGAGAACAAGTAAGGCACTAATTTCTTTCTTCCGCTTCCTTATTTTCCCCATGAGTGCTTACTCCTGTCAGTTAGAACATTAAACCTCTTTCAGCTTGGTGTTTCCCAATTCATGAATTGCTTCTTCCTCAAACTTTTAAAAATTGTTATTGTGCCTCAGGTTTCCCTTTAATGAGATACAAAAAACATCTCTGTACTGTATTGATTGTATTCTGATTCCTAATTCAAAATAAAAATTTGAATCCAAATGAGAGATCAACTGGTATTTATTTTTAAATCAAACATTATATTTTGATTCAACTGTAGATCCACATGAGATTTTAAGAAATAATACATGGAAATTATCCAATGTTCTCTACTAATATGAAGCCAGTAGATAATCTAATGCATGTCTGCAAAAGAGAAAAACTCATTTTAACTTGAGTTGAGGGGAGGAGTAATGAAGGAGCAGGAGGAGGCTGGGGTAGGGCTGGCATAGCACAGCTTTTATATGTGGGACATAACCACAAGAGGGACTCTACCTAACAAAATCAAATGTTTTGCCCTTGTCCTCTGTATCCTCACATGAACCTGAAATAAATTTACTTTTCAAAAAGAAAAAAGAAATAATTCCTGGAACATCTACAGGAGAGGTCTGGACAGATTTTCTAGCATTACCCGGCCAGGGTAGAGAGACTGACATTTGTTTACTGTATTTCTTTTTAAGTTTCAGAAGATGAAGGGAGTACAAACGTTTCTGTTACATGGATATACTGTGTATAATGCTGAAGTCAGGACGGGCACTTAAATAGATCATGATTGTACTGAGATGGGTGCCAGCAGCCTCATGGATGCCTGCTGCCTCATCACCCCCAAAAGCGGGGATGCTGGCGGCCTCACAATGGCTTCACACCACCCCCCACCCTGGGTAGGAGGAAGAGAAAAAGAGGTAAATGAAATGCTGCCAAATGCCATTACTCTTAAATAGGTCCAGATCAGGCCGGACTAGGACAAGATAAGAAGGAACGGACCAAGAACTGTCATCATGAGAGTTAATGAGCTAAGTGCTGTGACAAATTATTTTATTTATCCATTAGTTACTAAATCTGCATTATGTTACTTTATTGTTATCTAACTGCCCTTTATGTAACCTATTGGCTAAACCGCTAAATTGCAAGGTTTGCTTATGTAAACGAGGTCATCGTGACCCTGTGCTCGCCTTTTGCTTCTTTTGTCAACTTTCTTTTTGCTTCTAATTGCTAACTTTCAGATCACCTGTTTGGCTCGTTACCAACTTTTAAACTGGAAAAACCCCACCGTCAGACCTCTCATGCTCTTTCACTTAGTCTGCTTTAGACTTTGCTGAGACAGCCCTGCGGTTAATAAAAGACTCCTTTTGAAATTCTAATTTGAGTCGGTGGTCCTTAATTTCACCCCATAAGGGTACTTAAAGTACCAGGATTACTAGAGCTAGGAGCAACATCTTATGAAAATAGAGGCACTCACAGTTGAAAGACGAGTCTCTCCAAGAAAGCTGGGGAATTGTGTTCCACAAATGCAAGGGCACTCATGCCAGTTCCAAATGGATCCCTATCTTCCAACGAAAATACCAGGGTTTTGGGGAGTCCCAGATTTCACAAGTTTCCACCCCTGTAGTGCAAAGGAGTTTGTGCAGAGAAGCCTAGGTTGGGGGCGCAGGCGGAGGGGGGGAGACAGCGAGTGGGTGGCTCTGAAACAGAAGACGGGGAACACTTGTTTCTCTATCTAGGCTTTTGCAAAAGCCCTTGAGCCACAGACCAAAAGGTCCGTTCGGAAGAATTCCCCAGTGGCACCCCCTGAAGTTCAGTAAACTTGTGCCACCTGAAAGTTCTGCAAACTGATGAAGTGAGCAGGTAACATTCCCGCAACGTCTGGGCAGATCTGTCTCCCTAATGGCCTGGTATGGACAGATACTCACCCCCTAGGAAGGCCCTGGCTTGGTGCCACTCTCTTTGGCTCCGGGAGAAGCTGTCTTCTTTCGCCCCAACCCGGAAGCGCTACGAAAAGGCAGAGAGAGAGTCCAAGCTCTCTCTGGGATTTATAGAGTCCAACCAAGAGCTTCCCAAGCCCGCCCATCCAAGCCTCCACCCCTGGCCAAGGAGCAGTCTCCCGCCCCGCCCCCTCGCCCAGGGACCCGAGGTCCTGGCAGTGCAGAGCGCAGCCGGAGAGCAGCACTGAGCCCTCCAGCGATGGCATTCAGTCTCTGTGCTCTTCCCGGCGGCTGAGCGGAGCAGGCGCAGAGACCTGCCGGCTCCTGGAGTCTCATTACCTTCCTTCCCACAGGCCGGAAGAAGGAGCCCCCCTCCAGCGCCTGTCCGGAATGCCCTTCCTTCCTTCTTTCTCTCTCTCCCTCCCCTTTTCTGTTCCTCTCATTTCTCTTTCTCTTTCTCTCTCTCCCCTCTCCACCTTCTGTTCCTTTCCTTTCCTTTTATTTTTTTCTTTTCTTTTCTTTCTCAAACTCCAAAAAACAGACACGAAAGAATCTGATTTCAGGGCCTTGCATTTTGACCATGTGTTTCAGATGAGCTACACTAAAAATAAGCAATACAAAATTGTATTAAGAAAATATTTCTATTTACAATATTATCAAAAGAATAGAATGCCTAAGAATAAACCTAACAAAGGCAATTTAAGATCTGTACACTGAAACCTATAAAATATCCCTGAATTAAATTAAAGTAGATACTAATAAACGAAAGGTATATCATGTTCATGGAGTTTACGACATATTTTTAAGATGTTCACACTATTCAAAGTTATCTGATGATTCAATGCAATTGCTACCAAAATTCTTTTGAGATCTTTTAAAAAGAAAAGAATGTAATCCTAAAATTCATATGGAATCTGAAGGTCTCGATGAAGGCATCTAATGTTATAAATTTCCCTCTAAGGCCTGCCTTTGTAGTATCCCACAGGTTTTGATAGTTTGTGGCTTTATTATCAACTTGTTCTAGAACTCTAATGATCTCCCTCTTGATCTCATCTATCACCCAGATATCATTCAGCATATGTTTTCCATGATTTCATCTGAATATGAAGATTTTTGTTACTGTTGAGTTCAACTTTTATTCTGAGGAGATACTGGGGATAATTTCTATTCTTTTTATTTAGCTTAGATCAGACTTGTGACCTAAGATGTGATCAATTTTAAAGGATGATTCATGGGTTGATGAGAAAAATGTATATTCAGTTTTGTTAGGATAAAATGTTCTATAAATGTCTGTTAAGTCCATTTGTTTTAGGATCTTATTTAAGTCAATTGTTTCCTCATTTAGTTTCTGTTTGGAGGATCTGTCAAATACTGCCAATGGGGTGTTAAAATTTCCAACTATTATAGTGTGGAAAGATATCATATAGTTCAGATCAGTTAGGGTTTGTTTTATATATCAAGGAGCGTTCAGACAGAGGAGATGTTACAAGCCAGCATGGTGAAGGGGAGTGAACCAGAGTGGAATTGGTGGGGAATGAGGAAAATACTGCACAAGAGAAGACACAGAGACAAAAGATGGGATCGGGAGGCTGACTGAGCTGATGGCTGCAGCCAGCACCAAAGCACAAATTCAGCTTTATTTTATAGTATCTGTATAGGGTTCTCTACAGAGAAGTAGCATAGACAAAAGACATATTTTTGGTCTTTCTACAATATGATTGGAAACTGCAAATGACTTGAAGAAAGGCAAATCATCTTGTTAATGGTTTCTATTCAACTTAACATATGTCAAGAAGTAAAAAGGAAGAGGTCATGATAATCTCTGTGCAGTTAACAAAACAAAGGAAGAACTATGTGACTTAGTGGTTTTCCCTCAACTTTGTTAACATATGACAAGGAGTGAAAAGGGAAAGATCACAAGGATAACTGCATAGTTCTTAACAATTAACTAGACAAAGAAAGAGCTACGTGACTTTTTGGAAGAGGGAGCATGAGGAAAGAAATATGGTTATTTTGGGGATGGAGGAGAAATAGTTGAGGGTTCATTCCCTGAATTTTCCTCAGCCTGTGAGGTCCCTGCTGCCTTACAACCTGCTCTTCACAAGCACATAGATGTTAACTATTGAACTCTCTTCATATTGTGTATTTTCTTTGGCTAGTATTGTTGGGTCCGAGAAAGCCTCCCAAATTAACCCCAACCGACAAACTCGAGACTCGCTCCGATGTAAAGGGCATAAGATGAGATTTATTACAGACCCAGGAAGCCCGGGGGCCCCAGGCCTCGACTCTCCTGGCATGCAAGCTGAGGACGAGCCCCGAACTCGGGGTGAAGGCAGTTTTTATGGGGTACAGAAAGCAAGAGGGGTAGGGTCAGATACGAGTACACTTTTCATTAGTGGTTGGTGATTTCATTAGTAAAGGTGAATTTGGATTGGTACAGGTGAGGGGTGGAGGGTCCCTTAACCGGGGGCTAGAGTTGGTGCAACCTGGTTACCTGTATTTCAACGTAATAGAAACTTATTGTTTTATTGCAGTAGGGTGACTTAGTTAATAAGGAATTGGGGGCTTATTGCTCTGTTGCCCAGGGTGGTACTATTTGGTTGAGTAACTATGAAAGGAATGAGAAAGGTTGCAGGGTGGGCCCTGCGGGTGTGGTTTAAGCAACTAGGAATGGAATGGGGAGGGTTACAAGGTGGGCCCTGCAGGCCAGGGCCCAGGAACAGAACTTATGTGGAAACAACAAAATGGAGCTGATCTGGTCCTCACAGTATGTAGTGTCCATTTTTGTCTTTCATTATTTTTGTTGGTTTGAATCTCATTGTATCTGCATACAAGACTGCAACCCCAGCTTTTTTTTCTGCTTTCCTTTTGCCTGGAATACCATTGCCCATCCCTACACCCTGAGTCTTATTTTATCCTTTGAGGTAAGGTGAGTATCTTGAAGGCAACAGATATTTGGCCTGAGTTTTTGTATCCAATCAGCCAACCTATGCCTCTTTAAGGGAGAATTCAAACCATTCACATTAATTAAGAGAATTGATAATTGTGATCATCTTGTTTTTCAAAAGTCCAGAGCTTAATTTTATGCCTATCACCATTGTGGAAGGTAGGCTTTGTTCTTTAATTTCTGGGTAGGTTTACTTTGGTGGTCTACCCTCCTGTTGCTTATTATGAAGAATGAATCAGTATTTCCTGTAGAGCTGGTCTAGTCAAGGCAAATTTCCTCAGGGTGTGAATGTCAGTGAAGTATTTGATTTCTCCATCACAAATGAAATGCAGTTTAGCAGGGTATAGGATCCTGGGCTGGAAATCGTTTTGTTTAAGAAGGTTGAAGGTTGAAGACATCCTTTCCTGGCTTGGAAAGTTTGGGCTGAAAGATCTATAGTCATCTTTATACTCTTCCCTTTGTAAGTAATACTTTTCTCATGCCTGGCTGTTTACAGAAGTTTCTTCTTCATATCCACCATGGAAAATATTATGACGCTTTCTCAAAAAACTAAAAATAGAATTGCCATATAATCCACTAAAAAAGAAAAATGTAAAAGCATCACAAGTGTCCATCAGCAGGTGTAGGCTAAAACCTGATCTATACAAGGGAATATTACTCAGCCTTAAAGGGGAGGGATATTCTAACACATGCTATAACATGGAAGAACCTTGGGAGCATTATTCAAGTGAAATAAGCCACTTGTAAAAAGAAAAATACTGGATGATTCCACCCATATAAGGTACCCAGAGAAGTCAAATTCATAGACACAAAAGGTAGAGTGGTGGTTACCAATGTCTGGGAAAAGAGAGAAACGTAGTAGTATTGGTTAAAGGGTTTGTAGATTCAATTTTGCAGGATAAAAAAGGTTCTAGAGAGCCATTTTAAAACAATACCATTATACTAAATACTAGTAAACTGTACATTTAAAAATGGTTAAACTAGTACATCTCATGTTATATGTTTTTTATAATAAAAAAGGAGAAAAAAATTTGTAACTTGGGAAGATCTAGTGTTTAGTGATGACAAATTAGGGAAGAGAGGTATATTGTCTGTAAAGGGTGACAATGTAAGAATAGCGTTTTCATTGAAATATTGTCTCTTTTCCCACCCACAGAATTGGAGAATGTCAAAAATCAAGGAAATTTAGTGAGAAATGACAATGGGAGAATGAGTGAAAGTCTCTGATGATTAAAGAGTGTGTAGCAACATGCCACTCCACTTCTGTTCTACTTCATCTGTGTGACTCATTCAAATGCAGAACTACTTTTCCTCCTATTCTGCAGATTGTCTTTTCACTCTGTTGATTATTTATTTTGCTGTGCAGAATCTTCTTAGTGTAATGAAGTTCTGTTTGTCTGTTTTTGTGTTTGTTGCCTGTGCTTTTGAGGTTTCAGCCATAAATGCTTTGCCTAGATCAAATGAAAAATTATAAACACAATTATTCTTGCTAAATTTAAACAATTAAAAATGTTTATTAATCTCTAAGAAAATGTTAAAATATTGAGAAAATTAGGTGTGCTTTCAGATAATTAAAGTAAATCACAGTAGGAGTTCATCATTTGGAGTTCTAGAATCTGGACATCTGAGATCATTGAAGATGGCCATCTTCTCTCTGTATTTGTCTGTGTACTAATCTCTACTTCTTATAACATACCATCATTAAGGCTTACCCTAATGACATCATTTTAACTTAATTGCCTCTTTAAAGACACTATGTCTAATACAGATGCATTCTGAATTACTGGAGGTTAGAACTTCAACTTAATGAATTTTGAGGGAGTGGACAATTCAGCCCATAATACCTCCTAATGAATTTGCCACATTTAATCCAAGGCAATGGGTATATTTGTCTGTAAAAAATGATTTTTGTGTGTGTATGGAGGTGTGTAGTTTGGCATTATAAATAAACTTACAGTTACTGATATAAGCAGATTTTATAGCCGATTTCATGATTTCTAAACACCTGAACCTCCTGATTAATACAAAACAGCAAATACAAATTCTTTCAAGTAGTGAATTCACTTTCTACAATTTATTCCACAGTAGCAAAATTTATAAGATTTTCAAAATTATGATGAGAAAAAGATATTGCATAAAAGTTTTTAGTGTGCAAGGTTCAGAAATTTCCTTTGCAAGCAAAATTAGGTCAAGAAGAAGAAATACCACAAAAGTCTTCACAGAAACAGTTTTGTGTAAGCTATAGTAAATTACCACGTTGACTATCAGTGGGTCTATTGGGATATATCTGAAGTCCACACACTAAAATGGAAACCTAAGAGTTATGTTTGTTTTTAGAATAGCACAGTTCTTCTATCATTTTTGTGTTATCAAATGCAAGAGTTGGAGTTGGGAGAGAATGAAGCTGCTAGAAGTCAAATTCTTCAAGTATGAAGCATCATAATCCTCTTATTACGAGATTAGTCCAGTTCTATCATGTAGCTAATATTCATAAGCATGTAAATTTCCAAAAGGGAGATGTAGAGTGACATACTATGCACACTAAGATAATAGGGAGACATCATAATATTTGTTGGTAGGGTTATATGAAAAAATTTAAATATGAAATACAAATGGATAACACAAACTTAGCAACAAATGTAAAGCTGGGTTTTCAGGAAAATAAAGACTGTGGTTAAATTCTAGTTTGTGTTGTATGGATGAGTGGTGTGGGGCTGGTGGTAAAGGTAATAGAATTTACATGAAGGAAAAAAAGTCCTTAACATAGTATCCTCTGGTTCCACTCATGTTGCAAATGACAGATTTCATTCTTTTTTATGGCTGAATAATATTTCACTATAAATATGTGCCACATTTTCTTTATCCATTCATCTGTTGAGATACACTTAAGTTGATTCCATATGTTGGTTGTAGTGAATAGTGCTGCAAAAATAAGCTAGGCACAGAAAGACAAATATTGCATGCTCTCAATCTTTTGTGGAAGTTAAAAAGTTGATCCTTTAGAGATAGAAATTAGAATGATGGCTACCAGAGGTTAGGAGGGGTAGTGGGGAAGGGGGTAAGGAGGATTGATTAATGGGTACAAAAATACAGTTAGATAGAAGGACTAAGACCTAGTGCTCAGTAGCACGATAAGGCAACTAGAGTTAACAACAATGTTTTATATATTTCAAAATAATCAGAAGAGTAAAATTGGAATGTTCCCAACAGCAAGAAGTGATAAATGTTTAAGGTGATGGACAATCCAATTATCCTGATTTGATTATAATGGATTGTACACTTGTATCAAAAGATCATATGTATTCCATAAATATGTATAATTATTAAGTATCCATAAAAATAAAAAATAAAAACTCACTCTGTAACCTGGGTTAAAGTGCCGAGGCATCATTGTAACTCACTGCAACCTCAAACTTCTGGGCTTAAATAACTTTCCTGCCTCAGCCTCCCAAATAGCTAAGACTACAGGCATGCACCATTGCAACCAGGTAATTTTCTGTTTTTAGTAGCAATGGAATCTCACTCTTGCTCCAGCTGGTCTCCAGCTCCTGAGCTCAAACAATATTCTTGCTTTAGCCTCCCAGAGTGCTTGGATTATAGGCATGAGCCACCATGCCCAGGCAACAGTTTTTTATTTAAAGTTTATTTAAATAATTTACAGATGAGGCGGCTCACAATGGTAATCCTAGCACTATGGGAGGACAAGGTGGGTGGATTGCCTGAGCTTAGGTGTTCCAGACCAGCCTGAGCAAGAGTGAGACCCCATCTGTGCTAAAAATAAACAATATAGCTGTGTATGGTGGTACATGCCTATAATCTCAGCTACTTGGGAGGCTGAGGAAGGAGGATCACCTGAGCCCAGGAATTTGAGGTTGCTGTGAGCTATGACAGCACTCTGCCCAGGGTGACTGAGTAAGACTGTCTCAAAAAAAAATATATA